CTTGGGCTACAGATAACAGGATGGTGTAATGGATTGAAAAGGAAACCCATACTAAATGTTCCTGTACAGAAATTGGGGGGTTTGGTTGTGTATTAATTTTTCACATTGATTCCACACCTTCAGTTCTGTATTCACACCCCTTTCCCCCAGTTTTAAAAATACTTGCTTTTCTTTTTTTTAAGAGCTCATAATTCACTTCAGACCATTTCGTTGCTCATTTCAGTTAGTTCTTCTGTATTCTGCAGGGCTAGGCTGTTTGTCTCTGCAGCTAATCCCACTAATACAACTTAAAGAAGCCCAGGAATGAGATAGAGGTGAAAATCTCTAAACAGCGTTGGCAGCAAACAGGAAGCAGCACCAGAGGAGAGCCGGAATCTCACAAAAAGGAACAGTGTGGGTGAGAACAAAACAGCAGCAACAACAAGCCGTCTCTTATCAGAAGAGCGCTGAATCCATCAACATGAATTAACCATATTTCACTCCAAGGGAGATGAAGCAGAGTCTTGTTTCTCTAGACATTAAAAAAAATTTTTAATAACCCCAAGACTCAAATAGTTCTGCTTCCTCCACTAAGCCTGTCTCACTGCCGAGAATCTGTAGCCTCTCTGACTTTCTACACGGTTTGTATTCCGAACCAGACCTTCCGGCACTCTGATGCTTTACTTTCACCGTTTCTTACAGGTGAGTTTTGTCTTCCCAGGCAGAGTACGGATCATTTCTTCTACTTCTTCATTGTTTCCCAAGAAATCTAAGGTGGTGCCGTGAGCTCAAGAAATACCCTCTCGAGGGGCTGGCCCAGTGGCTTAGTAGTTAGGTTGGCATGCTCCACTTTGGCAGCATGGGGACTGTGGGTTTGGATCCTGGATGTGGACCTACACTCTGCTCATCAAGCTATGCTGTGGCGGAGACCCACATACAAAATACAGGAAGATTGGCATGGATGTTAGCTCAGGGCCAGTCTTCCTCACCAAAAAAATTAAAAAAGAGAGAGAGAAATACTCTCTCAAGTTCACTTCCCAATCTATGAAAAAGTGCCAGCAGGATGAGTGGTCCTTTAGTCCCTGTTCCCCTCTGACTTCTCCAACATAGTCAAGAGAGAACATTAGATTGGATACAAGGAATACTGAAGAGTGGACAGGATCCTTTAGCGAATTTTCTAGCAGAAGAATCACTGCATGTAGGTGATTGACCTCCAGCCTCTATAATGTAGATTGACACAGTCTAACCTGTCAATAGGGTCAAGTCCGAGACACAACATCAGTCACAACGCACTGACTCCCTGACATGCTTCAGCCAGTCCCAGCCAGTGAAATACTTACATGCATGCTCTTAGTTAATATATGTGCAGATTATGTGCTCAATTTCTTTACACCCCCTCTTAGCACCTCAACCCTTCCACCATTTCTCATCAGAGAGGTTGTTTTCCACTTTACTGCCTTTGTAGACTTCTGTCTTTCTTGATCTCAGTACTAGTTCTGCTATTTGTATAATGGTAATATTAGTATTTTTTTTCATCCATTCTTCAGATTTGGAAATTAGTATGAAATTAACAAAATTTGAAGGACAATGTTCTATCAGTAGTGACAGAACTTCTGTTATCTGATTGCCCTTAAATTACAATGAGGTTGTTGACCCCTTCAGTTCTAAAACTTGGAGATTTTTTTCCTTTGGAAGCCACACCCAGTTATGAGATTAATATATATATATATATATATTTTTTTTTTTCCTATGAGAATAGTTTTCCAAAGGCATGATATCACCAATCTCTGAGGCTCGCTGTAGGATGATCGGGTTGTCAGCCCCTGAGGGCACTCCCTGTTTGGGTAATAGTGGGGGACCTCCTGTCTGTGGGGAGAAAGTGACCTTTCCCAGAAAGGCACAGGAATAGCTCATAGCTCAAGGCAACTAAAGGTTTAATTGCTCTCTTTGAGAAGGCCTCACAGGAAGCACTAGCTTTAAGTAAAATCTTTATGAAAGGATGCCTTCTCTGAATTTTCCAAACAGGCCTCTTTGTTATTACCTTGAGAGAGCTGACAACCAGTCAGGGAATAGAATCTCCCTTATCGTTTCCAGACTATTTTAGCTCGCTGCGCATACCCCATTGGTGGGAGGGCCACAAACGGTTCTCTCAAGCTTCACTCAAACCACCAATCTGTCGCGTCTGAAATGCCCTAGCCCTTTCTGGCCTCATGTACTTGACTCCTACACCATGGGGAAGTCCCCCTTGGATTCCGAAAGAAAATTAAACTCCTTGGAATCCAAAACTAATAAACTTTCACAGAGTGGCCCCAGGTGGGTTGGTTATCATGATATTTCGGTCTCACCTAACCAATAAGAGGGCCGGCTGGCAAATTCCCAGGATGGATATTCTCATATGAGCACTGGATTAAAGGAAGCCAAAAGATTTTCGGCCATCTACATGCTCAACTTACACCCCACCTGGGTTCTGAGGTAGAGATCTTGTGACAGTTGGGGCCCTGCAAGGCAATTAAAAGAAATAAAGCAAAGTATTATATTTTAATTGATGTAATCTTCCAGCTCCCAGTGGAATCTGGGGTGATATCTGACTAGAGTTTCCCTAGGTATGAATAGATGACTATTCTGTGAAAGTGCAGTTAGGAAGACGAAAGCCCACGAAGCCTGAACTTCATTAACATGTGTATCTGTTTGGGGGGGATTGGCTCACACTCCCAGGACTATGAAAGGAAAGAAGCCACCTAGACTTCTCTAGGGTCTGAACAAAGAGCTGAAGGGGGTGGGGGAGCAGAGAGGGCGGAGGAGAGAGGGAGGGAGGGAGACGGGCAGGTGGAGGGGAAGAGATAAATGGGCTTATATTTTGATTTGCTTTTAGAGTACCCGGATATTAGACACACTGAGCCACTCTTTCCAGACCAAAACAGCTTTCATCCATCACTAACATTTCAGGGTTTGTTTCTGTTTTATTGTAAATATTCCACTCAAAGAAAGATAGACAAGAAAAACTCCGTTATACAGTATACAGAGTCAGATAGAAAATACAGAATGGAAAAGAAAGCCAACAACCAACTGATCAAAAGTGGAGACAAACCAACCAAGGAAGAGAACTAGCTGGTTGCAAAGTCACTCCCCAGCTTGAGCGAGGTGCAGCGATGGTCCCAACAGCTCATAGAAACTGTCTAGCGCTGTCAGTTTTGTCTTTGCACATAGTGAAAGAAACAGACTTTATAAATGATTCATGGGGACATTTATTTCACTAATCCATTAAAAAAAAAGTCTGCTATTGATCAAGATGTCCTGCTCATAAAAACAAGTTTTTAAAAAAACAACCCTTCCCACCCCAAATGTGATCTGACAGTTGGGACCACATTGTCAGAAGCAAGGGATGGAGCTGCAGGTTGGAGCAGTGTGGCACCTTTGGGGTCTGCGGTCACTCGGCCTTCAGGAGCCCTTCCCACCAAATCCACGTTTCTCCATGAAGCTTGAGGCAAGGTTTAAAAAAGAAACTTGTGTCCTGCACAACTTGCCATCATTTGATGGTTAAAGAGGAAAAAAGGATTCAAATTCAAGAGAAGGAAGGTCAGCCGAGGACAAAACTGGCGTCCTTTATAGGAATAATCAGGGTACCATGTGGCCCCCAGGATGGCAGCTGTAACTAATAGTCCTGGCACAAAAAGGATGTCAACCTACCCAAACCACAAAAACATGGAATTAAGCTTGTCATCTTCCAAAGATGTCTTTATTTTAGTACATTCAGAACAGAAACAATGTGAGGACAATTTGCTTCAAGGTGGTGGTGGTGGTGGTGGTGGTGGAGGTGGAGGCGGTGCTATCGGCTGTTTATTTCTCTCTCCCTCTGAATTCTCTAAGCTTACAATCAGAAATTGCATAGAATTTGTTTTCCATCAGAAAATGAAAACTCTCTGTGTGAAACTCCAATTGGGGAAGCCAAGCAAAGGTCAAGCGGCTGCTGGCCCGCCTCGCCCCTCCCATCAGGGGAGCGCTCCGGCCCCTGCGCATGGCTCACAGGTACAGCAGTACCCAGCAGACATCCGACAGCCTGAAAAGCTATCAGATGGAAGAGAAGTGAAATGCTTTACTTGAAGTCACACAAGGGGGCTACTGCCCAAGCTGAGGACTCGAGAGTCCCTAGTTCCCAGGCCTGTGTATTGGCTACGAGTCTCCACCTCTCTCCCAGGAACCTGGTAAATTCTTGATTACTTAAGGTCTTTCCATTTAATAAACACACACACACACACACACACACACACACACACACTTGCCCCCAGGTCTCACGTCTAGTAACAAGAAATCACTCAATCCATGATAGCCTTGGGGCTCTGTCTTCATAGGCAGCTACTGAGTTTGGTTTCAGAGGTGCAGTTGACAAAGTATGCACCATCCCCCAGGGTGGCCCCATCCCTCCTCCGGTGTGAACGGTGCGTTCTATCTGAAGCCAAGGCCACGGTATGGGAAAATTGTGTGCCCTCTCTGCTCCTCAAAGAAGGCCCGGGGATCTTGGGTGCATTCTGCTCTCCTCCCCTGTCTCTCTGCTTCAGAGATCCCATTCCCAGAAGACCAAGTCAAACCCAAGAACAGTGGGAGTCAGGAAGAGAAAGAGAAAGAAAAGACATATTAACCCTTGGAATCCCAGGCATCTCTAGGTCTGTCTGAGTAAACCATGAGTTAATTGGTTTTTGGCATTTAAAAAATTACTTTAATGGATTTATTTGAACCTCTCCACCTTATTCTTCCCAAGACCCTTCTCCTACACTCCACAGGGCCCCCAGTCACCACACAGGAAGGAGAGTTCAGCACCTAAAATCTGATGCATCGGCTGCTCCATATCCTAAAATTTAGGAAAAAGGAACAGGGATTATTTAGACTTCCATTCCCTAACCCAGCCTCCCCTCCAAGAAAACAAAACAAACGAAGAGGACTGAGAAGGCAACAAAGGAGGAAAGGGGGAGGAGAGAAAAGAGAAACTAAAAGAAAAGAACGCTAACAAAAATATACAAATCCAGAAAAGGAAAACGTCCCTGTTGAGTTTAATTTTTTTTTTCCTGTAAGAACTAGACCCAGGGTACAACGGCCCCTTCCTAGGGGGAAATTAAACTGACGATGCCACCAATTCGTCAGAGCGTTCTGGGCAGGGACTCCCACCCCAGACTCTGTAATTTTGGCAGGAGGGAAAGGCCCGCTGGGAGAGGATGGGTCCTGGTGGCCGGGAGGGAGGGCGTCCCTTTGCCACTTGGGTGCAACGTCTCTGGGTGAACCCGGCTCCCGGACGAGGGCGCTGTCTCTGGCTGGGGCGTCAGGCTCTTTGATCTTTTTGTAAAGTTACTGGATCCAAAATCCAGAGAGAAGTGTGGACGCTGTACAAGTCCGGGCTCCCGCAGATAGCAGCGCCTGCCCAGCCCCACCGGCCTCTCCACCTGTCTCCAGGCGTCTGTCTCGCCGGGGCTACTCGGGCTCGCTGCTGTTGGTGGTCTTCTCCCACTCCAGGCTCTCCTCGCTGCGGGCCGGCGACGGCCGCGCCCGCAGGCCCTGGAACCTGCGGCACTCGGGGCAGACGCGGATATGCGTGCAGCCGCGGGCCACCAGGGCGGCCTCGTGCGCCAGTCTCTGCGCCAACTGGTCGGGCTCCCCCGCCCCGCACAGCTTGCCGTTGCTGAGCGTCGCCGTGCCCCTGGGCCTGCGCTCCTCCGGGATGGGGGGCCGGGGTGGCGGCACCCCGGCGCGCCGCCGGCGGGGGTGGACACTGTCCTGACACAAGATGATGCTGCGCAGCTCGGTCACCATCTCCTGGCAGACGGACACCTGGAAGAAAGGAGGAGGTCACAGCCCAACCTTTCAGAACCAGCCCCCATGGGTCCTTTGCGGGTCTGTTCGGGTGGGGGTTACGGACAATCTCACAGAATCATAGAATCTTAGGGATGAAGATTATATGAAGGTTTTGCAATCCATCTCCTCACTCCCAGCCCCCATTTAATATTCAAACCTCCATACCGTAATATTCAACAGCCCTGCCAGCTGATTCCCCAATCTTTGTTTGAACACCTTCAAAGACATGACCTCACCATGCTGGGAAAGAGCCCAGTGGCATTTTTGCACATTTGTGTTAAAAGCTGCTTCCTTCCATTGACTTAATTCCTCTCCCTGAAATTTTATCCATTGATCCCGGATAAATTTGGACCTTGAAGCCGACTAAATAAATAACCCATCCACTGCATGTCAGTCTTTCAAGTATTTGAAAAAGCTGCCATGTCTTCATGAACATTCTGTTCTCAGGCCAAAGATTCTCATTTCTTTTAATCAATGGGTTATGGCTGGAGAGGGTGCATTCGAATAATAACTATAACAATAAAAATGACAGCAACCACTACTCCTACAGGTCCACAATCTCCTAAAATAAAACCCTTGGGTCCAGCGGTGTTTCAGAATAATTTGGAGTTTAGGAAGGTAATACCATAGACATAGAGTATATTATGTATCACACCCAATATTTCTGTAGCAAAATCTATGTATGTTCACACTGCTTTAGAGAAAGCCCATAAACATTAGCCTTATATAAGTTCAAGTCAACTTTTGTTGCAAAATGCATTTGCATCAAACTTACAAAAACTTGGAACTTTCCAAGCTTCTCAGGTTTCCAAACAGTGGATGAAGAATCTTGAACCTGGACTACTACTACTATTATACCCATTTTGCAGATGTGGAAATGGAGGCTCAGAGAAGTTATGTATCTTGCTAAAAATTACTTGGCTAACAAAGAGCTGACCCAGAATTTGAAGCTAAACCTATCTACTCCAAAGCACACGCTTGCTCTGCTCAGTTCTCTACTCTCTGCTGGAAAGGACACTTTCCCAGACCACGATGGGAGAAGCAGCCTTCTGTTCTTTTGTGTTCTTTCCCCCAGTCTTCCAGTTCTGTCAACAGGACAGTCGTTCTACCGTAGTAAAAAGTTAACGTAGCCTTACTCTTCATTTTAGCTATTAGAAGGGCTTTTAACTCCCCATTGGATTTTTCAAAGTACGTCCAGACCATAGGTGAGCTCTTGGGAGAATAACCAAACGTGCACGGATCCTCTACCTGAAGCAGCTACAGAGAAGAAGTATCACCTGATGGAGTATGGCCTGCGTTAGGACTTGAGAACTGGATTCTAGACCCACCATTGTTACTAAAGAGCAGAGACTCTAGCCAAGTCACTTAAAAACACCACCACCTGCCTAATCTATTACATGTGACAAGAATAGAACAACATATGTTGTTGGACTGTCAACTATGTATCAAGCCCCGTGCTTTGTAGTGGAAATACAGAGAAAAAAGACAGTCCCTACTTGCAGGCAGAGCAATGTCTAGTAGCCAGACTCATACAAAAATCATTGCAACACCCAAGTCAGTGCTGAATGCACAGGTTACAATGGTAGCAGAAAGGAAGGGCAGAGATCAATTCCACTAGTCCAGGGGCGAGGTAGGAGAGCTGGGGAAGGTTTCACAGGGAAAGGAAGACCTGAACTAGGTCGCATGGAATAAGTAAGTAGCATCACCATGGAAGGAGTGGACAAAGGGAGAAAGCCAGTAAAGCTGGAGAGAGGGGTAGGAGGGGAACCAAGAGGGCCTGGTGCCAGGCAAGGCAAGAGAGGAGAGAGCTTCTGGAAGGAACTGTCCACTTTGTCAAGGGGCACACTGAGGTCCAATAAGGCTCATGGGTTCTCCTTGGTTTCGTCCATTGGGAGGGGTCAGATGTTTTAGCCAGGACCTTTTAGTGCACAGGTGGGGAGAAGCCAGACCCTGGACTCAGGACCGAATGGGAGGGGAGGAAATGGAAGCTGAGGCAGTGGGATCACTGTGGTGTGGAAGAGGCGAGGGATAGGGCAAAAGCCACAGTGATGTTGCTGATATCTTAAAATATAGGATAAATGTGAGCATATGTTTGGATTTTGGGGGGAGAGCAGCCGGGACAGAAAAAAGGAGGAGAAAAAGGATAATCCCAGAGTGGCTGAGGACAGATGGGATCAAGGCAGAGATGGAAAGATGACCAGAACATCGTGCAGCTGCAGCTGTGGCTACAGCTGGGGGTAAACTTTTCAGTGGGGGTTTTAATTTGGGGCTGGTCACTGCTGATTTCTTGCTGAGGTGGCAGGTAAAACAGAGCTCGTTGCAAAGGGGAGTGAGGAGTGGGTGACAGCGTGGCAGTCCTATTGGGAAATGGGAAAGAGATGGAGCACGGAAGAGCACAAGGACCGGCAGGCAGTGTTGTATGGAGGCCTGTATGGGGCTGGACTCCCTGGTTTTGGAGGGGCACTGTGCAGTTATGAACCGTGCTGAGCTGCGTCTCCAGAGCCGATTAGGAAGGAGGTTTTAGGAAGATCCAGAGCTGGGAGATTGAGAAAGAGGCTAATGTACTTTAACACCCAAATTCTGCAATCAGCATGTAAGGATTTGTGTGCCCTGTCTCGGAGGTAGAATGGAGGTAGAATGGGATAAGGTCTTCTTCCTTCTTCTCAGACTCCAATCTGCTTGAAATTTATATTAACCTAGTTTCTAAGCCACAGGTTTGGGAATTAAAATTAAAATTAAAATTAAAAAACTTATTCAAAATCCCTGAGAAGGAAGATGCAATTCTTGGGCTCACGTGACTCGAGATATCTCTACGGGTGTAAGGCAAAAACATACTCAAGATGGAAGAGCTGTCATTGTTTCTCTTAGCGACCTGGTACCTTCGCCTGGTTTTCTTTACAGTACTACATCTTAAATAGTCGTTGTGTAAGACTTTGTCGTTCAGAAAACATTTTTCACATGTTTCTTTGCTGGACGGTTTCAGAGAAGAATCTGAAGCCCAGAGGTTAAGTGCCCTTTCCATGGCTGCATCATTAGTAAGTGAGGACGCATTAACCCAGATCTCCTGCCCTCGAGACTGGGACTCTTTCCATTGCACTGTCCTGTGGGTGCTCCACCCTCTTGTGGGATTTCACAGGTTTTGTCTGGAATGACTTTTGTATACGCGTGAGCCTGTGAACTTGGCCCCGTGTGCCAACACTATGGTCATACCCCTTTGAAGGTTTACCTCAGTAGCTTCTGAGTGTCGGAGAGTCCATAAAAACTCCAACATAGCCATAAAAATGGCCACGATTAAGCCACAAATAAGAACCACAAAGATTCCACCAATATTCTCCATTCCCAGTCCTGGAAGAAAGTGAGAACAAACAAAAAATAGTGTCAAAGAGCTGGAAGACATACTCATTCTGCCAAAAATGCTGAAAGTCACTTGAACGACCAGAACTTGGGTCTTGTAGATGCTTTACACACGTATTCCTTGATGAGATATAATTATTCTTCTGAGTAAAAACAATGCAGCACAGCTGGAGTAAAAGAAAGGAGGGGGCTCGAGCTGCAAATGGAGGAGACTGGTGAGAATCGTCCAGATGGCTGACTGGGGTGGGAGGTGAGGGTCATTTTAAGAAAAAGGCTCAGGAAAATTTGATTTAGCCTATAGAGACATGATACCAAAACCCCTGTAAATTCTAGCAATTCCATTAAAAATTTAGTCAATCTTCCTAATATCATGTTTGCATGATAGAAAGCAATTGTTTTAGCCAAACTGTGGATAGAAAAAATTACGTTTACCGATCTGTCAACATGTTACTAAAATACTTATTTGGAAAGTAAAGGTTTTATCTCACCAGGCCAGTGGTTCCCAAACCTGGCTGCCATCAGAACCACTTGGGAAGCTTGTTAAAAAGATAGATTCCTAGTCCTGACCCAAGACCTACTGAATCCATATCTCTGGAGATGGGGCCCAAGATCTGTATTTTCAAACGCATTTCACAGGTGATTGAGGCCTAAAGTTAGCTTGCAAACCGGTATTTTGGGAAGCATTGTACATGACTGGAAGTTCCATGAAGTCAGGCATAGTTTCTGCTCGTATCTTCATTGCCCAGCACCATACCTGGCACATGGTATATACTCAATAAACATTTGTAGAACTATATGGTTGTTTCATTTCCATAGTGTCAAACAGTGAGTTTAGGCCTGTAACGGGATGCTTTTCCGGTTTTGGAGAAACTCAGACTTTAGGGGAGTGTCATAAACATCTGAAATCCTGAGTCAACAGAGGCCACTATCAGAAACCAAAAAGCATCTTTTATCCAGGAAGATGCCAAGAGGGTAGCTCACATCCTGTGCTGTTCCAGAGTGCTGGCACAGCGGAGCGTCTGTTTAATCAGGAGTGCGGTCATGGGACGTGGAGCCGTGTCACTGCTCGGGAAAGCCGGCTTCACACAACACTAAGAGATGAGACACGGTGGAGGAGCAGAAATCTGACACTACCTTCTCCACCTTGGGAAGCTGAAAAATTGTCTTCCCTAGCCATTTCAAGATGCCTTGGGTTTCCTCTCACAGAGCCTTGAGTGTTTTTCTTTTGTTTTAAAAATAACAGCGCAGGGGCCAGTCCTGTGACGCAGTGGTTAAGGGCGCACCTTCTGCTTCGGTGGCCCGGGGTTCACCGGTTTGCATCCCGGGTGTGGACATGGCACCACTTGGCAAGTTATCCTGTGGTAGGCATCCCACATATAAAGTAGAGGAAGATGGGCATGGATGTTAGCTCAAAGCCAGTCTTCCTCAGCAAAAAGAGAGGATTGGTGGCAGATGTTAGCTCAGGGCTAATCTTCCTCAAAAATAAATAAATAAATAAAAAATAACAGTGCAGTGCAGTGCCTGCCTATACTAATAATCGGCTACGATGGCTCTGAGGGCTCACGTAATGAATGCATCAGTGGCCTATGTCCTCTGATCTGCGGGTCCACACAGTCAACTCTTGAGTACCTGTGTGAATATGAGATCCTCTAGTTTGAATAATCAAAGTTAAAAACTCAATTCTAAGGGAAGGCACACGGGGTTTGGAGTAGATTTCTACCTCCCAGGAGGAAGGTGCTTGGGGTTCTTTTGAACACCTGCCCTTCTAACCTGGGACCATTTGGGCAGAAGGTTTTTGACCAAATGAGCATCAGGATCCATATGATTGGGGAGGACAAAAGGGACACTTCAGAGGAAATGCGCTAAGGATGGAGCCGGCACATGCAGGCAGATGCTCCAGCCACAAGCTTAAAGGTGGTGGGAACTGGGGTATTGGGATGTGCATCTGAGCATCATGGACAAACTAGCTTCGCCAGCGGTGCCTGTGGAGAAAGGCTGGATGCAGATCCCCACTGAAGGGGAGGTGACAACTGTGATACTAAGGATGCCTACCTGTTGAGGTAAACAGAGTCCTCAAGTGACTATGAGGTACTACAAGACTCTCCATCACTTTGGGACAGTGCTGCCTGATATAGGAAAGAGACTAGCATCCCTTGAAAGGCCTCAATCTCCCCTCCTGTTTCTGCAGAGGAGCTGTACTGCGCCCTCTCCAGGTCCAATTCTGCCCTCTGGGTTCTAGCTGCTTCCCCTGCCTCTCATGGTCTCCACCTGGCCCTCCTCAATCTTTTCCTCCCCACTGACTCTTTCCCTCGGCAGATACACACACTCATGTTTCTCTCTTCTTAAAGAAAAATAAAAAATCCTTTTTCCCCTTCCAGCTCTGTCTAGTGAACGCCCCTTCTCTTTCCTTCCTTCCCCGGCCGAGCTTTTTGAACAGTTGTCTATACCAGAACTATTTTAAGACATTTTAAAGCCCTGAAAATGCTTATATTTGGAGGCCTGATCTCACATCAAAGCAAGGAGAAGCAAGTGCACCCACATCTTACGTTAAATGCATTTTTAAAATTTTGCTTCTGCTGTGACTGAGTGGCAAGAAACAGTTAATTTATAATTGGCTGTGATTTCTCAGCAATCATTGTGCATACAAGGGAATGTTTGCAAAATGAGAAAAATAGAACCCCAAAATTGTTTCTAAATGTAATGAAGTTTTTATGAATATTAAATTTAAAAATTAATGAAGTCGAGACAATGTTACATTTTGGAGATATTTAATTAAACATGTCAATTTAATTTTGCCGGTTTCTTTTTGCACTTTGAAGCTAATAATTTTTTCAGACCTCAAACATAATTTTGGACGCTTGAAAAGCTTTTAGGTTCTTGGTAGTCTGTAGTATCTGAAGGAGAAAATAATTCCATTCTGAATTCACTTTTGTCTTTTCTATTCACTCCTCATCCCATGCCATTTTGTCTTGCAACCCCAAAACCACCCTCATCAAGGGCACCGACGAACATTTTGTTTCTAACCTACTGGAAATTTTCCAGTCCCGGTCTTAAGTGACCTCTCATGGCACTTGACATTGTCAACCACACCTCCTTCTTGGCTCTTTATAAAGCCATTGCTCTCTGCTCTCTTCCACTCTTCTCAATCGCCTTTGCTTGCTCTGAGCGAGCTTGCACACTCGCTCCTCATCTTCCTGCATTTGGTTTCTTGCCATTCCTCCATGCACTGGCCGTCACCAAGTCCTGCTGATTTTACCTCCTAAATGCTTTCCTGTTTCTTACCTTCCTATCTCTCCTACCACGTCCCAAGTTCAGGCTCTCACCTCTCTTGCTTGCACTATTGCAGCAGCCTTCAGAGAATGATTTCCCCACTTGTAGCTGTGTCCTCCTCAACTCTACCTTCTGAGTGATCTTTCTGAGATGCAAAATCTGACTGCAACACATCCTTTAGTGACTCAGAACTGATTACACTTCCCAGTACACATCGCGCAGCTCCTACCTTCTGACCCTTTACTCCTGTCAGGACCTCTGCCTGGAAGAGGAACGCCCACCCCCAGACACACACCCGGCTAACCTCGACCTTTCCTTGGAGACTTAGCTCAGGGCTCACTTCCTCCAGGCTGCCTTCTCTGATCTTACCCGACTGTTAGTCATACCACTTTTGTATTTCACTGATAATGCGTCATGTAGCCCTCTAATATTGCATAAAATAATATGCTAGTTTAATGTTCTATATCTAGATTTCCCACCGGACCGTGAGCTCCTTGAGGGAAAGATCCATGTCTTGGTCAACTGTGTGACCCCACAGTCAGGGTGCCTGGCCCAGAACAAGAGCCCAATAAACGTTTGTTGGAAGGATGAGCAGCAGAAAGAGGACAAAGACATCCCAGATGTAGAAGCCAGTGTTATCAAAAGCTTTGGCTCCATCGGGTGATATGTATTCATTCCTAATTAAGTTTATGTTTAAAACAATAGTAAAGTGTGACAGTCCTCGTTGAGTGCTCCCAGCCTGGTCATAGAGGCAGATGGCCCAGACTGTACCGAGTGGCTGGCCAAAGTGGGACTGAGCATTGAGATGGGTAATCCACAATGTGGACTGAGCATTGAGATGGGTAATCCACAATGTGGACTGACTGTGCCCAGGTCCTGGACAGGCGGGGGTATCGGCAAGGGTGATAAACAGACAGGTGATCTGTGCTGGAATAATTCTGATTAGATCAGGGAAAGCTTCTCGGAGGAGCTGAGGTTTTAACAGGATGCTGGTAGAAACCATGAATCACTGAAACACCCCACAGTCTTTCTTTCCCAGCTTCTTGAGTTTCAGGGCCAGCATGTTAATCATGGGTGTTGGCTCCAGTGTGCTGATTCCTGGCTGAGTGGCCTCCTCCCCGCAGGAGCGAGGCTTGTATACCACTCATGCCTTTAGGAACTTATTGGAAAGTGAAAGCAAGAATAGACTGCTGGCAGAGTCAGAGATGAGAAACAGATGGAGCGGGGAGCGGGAAGCGAGTGTTAGGAGCCTGCAGCCGTCCCATTTAACACTGTCATCAGTCATTCTCCTAGAAGTCAGATGCCTTCCATAGCACACAGCCATTACTCAGAGGAGCTCGGATGTGGACTCCCTCTAGCCCGACCACAAGGCCTTCACCGCACCCAGACACCCTAGCACCTGCAAGGGGGACACCTCATCACCCCTCCCTTCCCTTCTTCAGACAGGATCACACAGAAGTCATCTAGACAGAAGGCTTTCAAACCGAGATTTTCTCCTGACGCTTGAGTCTCTGAGCCTCAGCTACGCCCCAGCCACAAGACTGTATTGACTGGAATACACTCGAACTGGCCCTGCAGACTCCTGGTTGATTGAATACTAACTTTGTCGTCCCTCACAGATTGTCCACAAATACCACCGATAGTTGACAAATGCAAACGAACTACTTGCTTTGTCTCTAGAACTACAGAAGGGAATGGGAACCTGGAAGGGAGTGCCTTGAGTGGATCTGAATCTCCTCCCACCCACCTGCTCTGCCTCCAGGTCTGCCCGGTACATAATCACTTCTTGGATTCAGGGGCACGTATGTCTCAGGCCTTAAAACCCTCATATAGCTCAGGTAGCACTGTGGAAATTTGCAGCTGAGATGCAGGGAAGCTGCTTTTGAATAAGGAAGGGGTAGCTGTAGCCTGAGAGGCAAAGAGGCAGAGGCACAGGAGCCACGGAGGCAGGTGCAGAGAGAGGAGACTGGCGCCACAATCCCATCAAGGGACAGTGTATTTGCTCTTGAAGTCAGTCAACACATCTTTCTGGAGGAGCTTCCCTGAGCTGAGCACTATGCCAGGTGCTGCAGCTCTGGGCAATGTTTCACACTGAAAACTTTCGACAAGCACAAGGATTCTTTGACCAGTATGACTTTCAAGCACTTTCTATTTCAGAGTTGCATTCACCTAAATCTATGCAAATACATTAAATGGTCCTGTCTCCATGGACTTATTTGCTGTAAATAGCAACCTCAGGTGCCCTTGTGTGAGCTGACCTGTATGACCTTCCCAGAAAACCTAAAGTGATTTGTCATGTTTGCACTGCTGAGGACTGTGAAATTCAAGCTTGCCATTTCTTCTTGCATTCACTGTGACATCCGTTGACCAGACCTAGTAGATTCTAGAGATAGTGATGGAAGAAGAGTAAGGAAAGGGACACAAAATACAAGAGGGATGGGAGAGGCATCTCATAAATTTCACAATATTTCTTTGTTTTTAAACTGATTCTTTTTTTTTGTTTAAGATTGGCACCCGAGCTAACATCTGTTGCCAATCTTCTCTGTCTCTTTTTCTTCTTCATCTTCTCCCCGAAGCCCTCCAGTACATAGTTGTATATTCTAGATGTAGATTGTTCTGGTTGTGCTATGTGGGATGCTGCCTCAGCATGGCTTCATGCGTGGTGCCATGTCCGCACCCAGGATCCGAATCAGTGAAACCCTGGGCCGCCGAAGTGGAGTGCGAGAACTTAACCACTCGGCCATGGGGCCGGCCCTGCAATATTTCAAAACACAAGTTATGGGAGAGGCACTTTACAATTTTCCAAAATATGAGCTCAAGCGCCTCATATTTTTAAGCATTCACGATCTCATTCAATTGTCATCAAAACCTGTAAAGAAAGTCCACAGTTAAAGAAAGGGAAATTCAGAGAACTTAAGTTGCCTAAGTTTTGATGGCTAAGATATGAAATCTAGGTAAATCCGACTGCCCAGATAACATTCTTTATAAAAATGAAGCTGGGCTTTTTGAGCGTTTACTATGAGCAAGGTTACTGTGCTAAACATTTTAATCCGATCCCAGCAGTCGCCCTGTGAAATTGGCACTCTATTACTTCCATTATCCTGAGAGGGAAACCAAGATCCTGGGGTCAGGCAACCCGCCCAGGGTCCCAAGGCTGACAAGGGCATGTGCCAGATCCAAACTGAAGCCAGAGCCTGGGCCCTGACCCCCACCCCACACCACCCCTCCCCAAAACTTGGTGTCCCTTGTGCTACAGGGGCGTGATCACAGAACTCAACCGGGCACCCTGATGACTGAATTCATTCCTGAGACAGCTCCCCAGAGTGACCGGGGAAGAGGGTCTGATGTATGGCCTATTATTTCCACTTATAAAATCCTCTTCTTTCCTTGAGAACAATATATCCAATGTTTGAATTGATGATTTATTGACTTAATCTTGGCTCAGTTTCCAGGCAAAGTTGGGCTGCAGTCTTTCTAATTGCTGACCTCCTTTGATGCAGACACACTGGGCCACCATTTGCCTGTTCCTGGTCGTGCTTTCTGGCACCCCCCTGCGCTTTCTCCATCTCTCAGCAATCAATCTGATTTGATTAGGGAGAGGTTTCCTCTGCAAGCATCTCTTCAAGACACTGTCTAAACTCCCATATTCGGGTTTCCAGTCTTGGCTGCCTCCAAAGAAAACAGAGAGAGCCAGGACAATCGGGCTGGGCTCCCTGAGAAGAAAGAGAGAGAACTGTCTCCAGAAACCCCCCTGTCATCACTTGCCTCCACTCTTGCTAAGATGTCTCACACTTTCATTCCCGCTGTGCCAGAACAGCAAACTTCCTGCTCTCTAAGGATTTTGTGAGTCAATGCCACCGGCCTTTTTTCCATCCTTGAAAGAGGACCCTGATTTTCACAGCCTGGTGGTGTATTTATGTGCCTTTGAAGCCCGATTGTGAGCTTGTGTTTTTCGAGATAAAGGTATTTAATTTCCTTGGAATTTACCGACTACCTTTCTGTCTAGCAAGTGTTCAGCAAGGCCTTCGGTAATCCAATCCCCTTGAATCAGGATGCCGGCATCTGTGAGTGGCTAGCGATATTTCTTTTTATAGCAGTTGAGTGAGAAAATAAATAAAATAAGTGTTTTTGGAAAGAAAAGGCAGAAGAAAATGAAACAGCCTGGAATGAAGCCTGCTTCTTTTCATAACGCTCCAGTCTTGCACAGGATCTGCCATTGCGTTTATTTACCTGCGTATGAAGGTACATGGTCACTGAGCTATAGGCAGGGAGAGAAATATGGGGAGAGGAAGGGAAGGGGTGATGTTGTGGTTCCCACTAGAGCCAAGTAACACCTGGCAAAAAGACTCAGGATTGGTGGCATCATCCCAATGTTAGGATTCTTCTCTGGGATTTGGCAGGGATGTTTGAGCTGTAATATTGGATTAGAAGTGGGGTAGCTCCAGATCCTTTTCTTTGAAATTTCTCGCATTTTAATAAGATAACAAAGCAGAAAAGGATTATGTTAGGCACCTCACATTGTGTGTACATTCGAATTGAAACCAAAGTGCCTATAGCCACTCTCACCTTCAGAGGTTTCCTAAAGAAGGGTCCCGCGCCCCCCCCCCACCCCGTTCCCTTCACCTCCATCCCTCTCTGCCTGTCCCATATTCTTCTCCTTCCTTTGGGCACAAGTGAAAGCCAAGTGACTCAAATCACGAAATGAAAGATTGCCTAGGAGCTGCTTTGGAAAGCAAATTAAAATGACTGCCCTTCGTTCGATTTGAGACACAAGGAAAAAGAGTGTTCCTGTGGCTCCATTCCTGGCGACCATTTAAAGACTTAAAGGAAAAGCTCTTTCAGGTCATGCTGGTTCTGTTCTTCTGCCCCAGGAGGGGGGCTCCTGAGCAGTGAGTGCTGTTCTGTAAGTCTGATGGCTAACTCGCCAGATAGAGACCAAGCGACGACGGCGCCTCTTGTTCTAGCTAGTGCTTCTCGCTGGGCTTGAAGGAGGTCACGTGGGCCTTCCCTGGGCCAGGGAGCCTTTTAGCCTCTCTGAGTAATGTTTGTTTGGGCTTCAGCCATGGCAGAAATGGGGCCACTGCATTAAACTGGCATTAACTGCTGTGGCTGGGATGGGAGCCGAAGCCCTGGCTCTTACAGTGATTTGCATAGCATCTCCCAGACAGCTCCCTCTTGGACATTATCACTTATTAATACAGCTCACCCTCTCGTGCCAAAGGCAGACCACAGAGAAGCAAGTTAACAGTGGCTGGTTGATAGAACCCTAGTATCCTCTGAAGATTTGGGACCTGGGTAGGATGACTTCCACTGTTAATTTTCCCTTTTCATCCACTCAGTTCTCATCTCTGTGCCGGGGAACATTTGGTCCCCAGGTGCAGAGTGGACAGAAGCCTCCTGTTTACTGCTTTCCATCTTCCATGGGAGCCTGGTCTCCCTGTCTGTGCCCCATCTCCACCCATTCCAGACTTTGCTCTCAAATCAGTCTTCCTAAAGCTCTGTGGAATGGAGAAGCTTCCAAAGCCAACCACTCTGCAAAAATTATAACAATTTTTGTATAAAGGTACCTAATTTGTACCTCAAACTCCCATTGCCACCTGATTGCCGAAAATGTAGAGACTTCTCAGTCATTTAGGTTCAAATTCAGTTACATGCAGTGTTTTCTCTGCTTTCCCTTCACTCCTGGATGTATTTCAGGTCTGAGGTTGGGAAGGAGATCAAGTATCATGGGGGCGGGGTTAGGTGTCTGCTCTTAAAGCTGGATTCCACTTAGATTTCCTGTGGTGCAGGAACAGACAGGCCTGTCACTAGGCCCTCTCTGCCCTGGGTCCCCACGTGCCATCTCTTATGCCCCCATTCCACCATGCCATGACACATATTTCTGGGGTTTGCCAAACTCCAGAAGAAAGAAAAATCTCTTTATCTCTTGAAATCCCCAATGAATCTAGGAGTTCTAACTGCCACTTGCCATCCCCTAGTAGGGCACAAGCCTCTTTCTGAGGGACCGTCCACATTCGAACACTCTTTTCCTGCTCAGAAGCTCCCTGTCGGGCCAGGGCATCTTTTTATCTGGTTTGCACACTGGGTGGCCTGGCTCTTCTGTTTTGTTTCTCTCTCCAACTTCTGGTGTCAGCTTTATGCCAAGCTTCCTTCGGGTATTGGCCTTCTGTATTCCAAAATACCATTTCTAGCAAATCAAAAGTGTTGACTTCTAAGAACATTGTCTCTGCTGCCTTGTAAGAGCTTCTTTTGGAATTTAAAGCCAATAATTTGACTCTTTGTTCCTCCTCAGGCAATGACCGTCCCCGGGACCATGAATGCCACTAAGCGCTCAGAATTCCATCCCACAGCAGCTGCTTTCATCATGCCACATCTCACCCCAGAACCTTTGAGGTCTGCAGCCAATATTCTCAAACCTGGTCCAGTGTGCCATTGGTGTGCTAAGACATATGCAGAGCCCTGGGAGGTTTATGGGGCATCTTCCTGGGGACACTGATTTTACTTAGAGTTTAGGTGGCAAAAGCATTTTTATATTAAATAAACATGCCTATGTTATGTTGTAAGATGCAAAATTCACATACTTTTTTTAGGATAAAACAGACTTTAAGGAAATTCCGAGCATGGTGGGCTGCTTTATACATGTCTCCCGGCCCCCAAGAGTGCACACGTCGTCTCCTCTGCTAGTCATTCCTTCCCTGGGAAGGTTTGAGACGTACTGGTTTGCAGTCCAAATGCCTTTACTCAGTTTCCAATGCCCTCTTAACTCCAACCTCATCCTACTTATTCAAACCAATTTCTGAGTGTACTAACTGTGCTCCTCAACATTCCTAAAGCAGTGACTCCTAATGGATGCTTCAAGGTCCAGGCCAAGTGCCTCTGTAAAGCCTTCCCCGGTCATTGCTCAGAATTAAGCACTTCCTCCTCCGGGCTTCAAAGCCCTTTCTTTACAGCTCTGTTAAAGCATTCCTACAGTGCAACCATCATAGTAAGTATTTGTGCTTCTCTCTAGGTTCTAAACCTCCTGAGGGCATGCCTTATTCCTTTCCGTAATCTCAGAGCCTAGTACAGTGCCTGGTAAAGAAAGGTTTACAATGTTTGTTGAATGCAATGGGGCCTATGTGAACGCTTTCCATGCCAACACCTGGGGTGTCTGGGTTCCTGTTTGGGAGGAAACAGATATAGGGAGTGGTACAAGTCTGGAGGTCCTTGAGATGATTGCCCACTCATTCATTCGTTCATTTATTATTCATCCTTTCATCAAATACTGATGTCAGAAGATATGCTGGTCACTGGGATACAAAAATAAATAAGACACAGTCCCTGTCTTTGAGTTTTTCAGAGTCCATGGGGGACAAATACCAAGAGACACAAAATAAACGTCTTAAGTGTTGATTTTAGAAGAGCTATCTGGCCTTTGGTTAGTACAGGATGGTCAGGCACACCTGTGGCTGTGGACACTACTCAGATCTCTCATGGCACCTTAATAGCTCCTTTAGGCCCAAGTTTTGGAATAAAATTAGTTCTGATTTCCTTTGTGCTGGGCACTTTGTTGAATGTTTAACATGATTTATTTCATTCACTGTTCACAAGAGCCCTCTATTTTCATCTCCATTTTCCAGAAAAGGAAACTGAGGCTCAAAGATGTTTCATGGTGTGTATAACAAGGCCATCTATGGAGTGGAGTCCATTTGACCCAATGCCCATGATCTTGAACCCTATCGAAACTGCTTCAGGGAAGAGAACCAACCTAGTCACTGTCAGCAGAACAAACAGGTATGCAGGAGGGTGAAAGTTTGATGATCTCCATTCTTGGGTTGGGAGAGTGGTGGTGGGGGGCGGTGGGAAGAGTCCCTTGGACTTTGGGTGACATCTAGAATGGGAGAGAGATGATCTAAATCGAGGTCCCTAAGTGAACACTGTCAGGCACCCAGATTCTGTGTCATTATCCCTGTACTTGCCAGTTTTGCTGCCCTCCAACTGTTTCTCTGCAGGATTAGCAGTAGACATAAATAAACACAAATAAATAAATATGTGCACAAAGGGAAGGATCTGTGGCTGGGTTTAGGGGTCAGGGATGAAAGGGAAATCTAGAGCGATGGGATCAACTCAGCAGTGAGTCTCAAGGGGAAATGGGCTCCAAGAGATCAAACGGGATCAGGTTTACAAAGGAAAGGAAAGCGAGGAAACTGCAACCAGTGGGAAGGAGGGGAGGAGGGAGACTGGTAGTGGGCCAGCGCTGGCAGCCTGGGCCTGGTGGGGCCATGCAGGAATCGGTGGGGCTCCCTGCACTCCTCTGAGCCCTTGCTCTTGGCCACCTCCCATTTTGCTCCAGCCTCCCTGATCTACAGTGTCTCTGTGTCAACGCGTAAGTTCAGTCAGCTGTTCTGAGGCAGCAGCAACTGGACTGAGTGGAGAGCTCTGGGTGTGAAGGCTACTCGGGAAGTAATTAAAGCACAGTTCCCTTAGTCACTTTCGTGTGGCCCAGGTGAACACAGTAATCGGCAGCTTTTGACAGCTATCAGTCAGTAGCTTTAATCACACATCCCACAAACATTTATTGAGTACCTACTCAATAGCCTCTTAGGGGAGGCTGGGACAGAGAAACAAATGAGACTGGGTCCACATCTAAGGTGCCATCAACCAGGCAGAGGAGAGCAAGAGTTGCCTGAGGAGTTGCAGAGGAGACCAACACCACAGGAGGCACTCAACCCACTGTGGGGAGGTTGCTGGTAGAGGGGACCAACGGCATCTCGGGAGATAGACACTTGGACAGCGCTCCTATTTCACTTATCTGTCAGAGGAAGGACCCAAGGTCCCTCTGCTCTGGGTCTCAGAGCCACCTTTCTGTTTGATTACTCCAGATCAAAGCCATTACTGTTTCCCTCCATCTCTTTGGTAAGATAGTACTCTTCCCACCACCGCAAAGTTCATTGTTATCACAGAACAACATTGACCTATGTTAAATTATCAATAATCTCATTTTATTTTGAGTATTCCAGGTCCAGTCAGATTTAGATTGTTTTCAATTGAGGTATCTTTTTATGGGGAGGGGGTGGTGAAGCAGCATTTTGCTACCCACACCTTCCCTAGAACAAACAGTCAATGCAGCCCAGCTCTCCCCATGGGAACCTTTCTCTGCTCCACCGGCACCACCCAGGGTCCCTGCTCACAGTCCCGCCAACTGCACTAATTTCTGCCTCTGCACCCTTCCTCAAGGGGCTTATTGCTTTCAATGACCACCCCCCCCCACACACACACACACAGCACCCTCCCTACCTATTCGGGTCCTGGGCATGTTCAACATCTAGTGCATTCTATCAAGTCCACAGAATTTTCCTGATACTTTTCCTCTGTACCGCCCACATTTCTTTTTTTCTCTGAACAGAGTTAGTCTCTTCCACACTTGACCTTTGGGGAGTGGAGAGCCAAGAAGTGTGTGGCCTCATTGGATTCCTGCGAGGGAAGGGGCAGCATTTCCTCTAAATTACAAAGGGCTTGCCCCCACAGGTCCTCATGCCTGAGACCTCTCCTTGCAGGATAGAGATCCATGATCCACATAGAGACACTCAGAAACACAAAGTCACTCATTCACTGTCTCGTCATGGATAATCATTCATGCTGAGCAGAGAGGGAAGCACGTGGTATCATTCATTTTACTCCTTGGCTCCCTTACTAGGGGAGAGCGTGCATAGGTAAATTTGTTGCATATTTTAGCAAGGCTGCAGTAGATTACTAGGGTGATCATATGATTTATTGTCCAAACCAGGACATTTTGAGAATGAATGGGGGTTCTAAAAATAACCAACAGGCATTACCTGATCTACAAGGATGTAATCTGGGACTATCTTGGGCCAACTAGGAGATGTGCTCGACCGACAGAAAATCCTGGCTGCCCAGGGACCCTCAACACTCCTCAGCTATGCATGTCAGTCAGTCACTGCTTTCTATGCAGCCTGGTCTAACATTCATCCATCCATCCATCCACTCATTCAATAAAATATCCATGAGCCAGGCCCTGTGGACAGCTCCATGTGGAAGACCAACCCTGACCTCATGAAACTTACATTCTAGTAGAAGAGGTGGAAAGAAAACAAACAAACAAATAGAAAATATAACATTAGGTAGAGATGAGGTCTGGAAAGAACAATAAAGCAGAGTTCAGGAGATGGGAGAGATGCGTGGGGCGAGGAGGGAAGACCTCTCTGAGGGCGCTTCCCCAGGAAGGCCAGGAGGAGGGAACAGAGCACAATTCCGGAGCTGGGAGATGGAAGGGAGGCTTGGGGAACAGAAAGAAAAGGGGGAGGCTGAGGGAGAAACAGATAGGGTAGGGCCTTGAGGCCACAGAAAGCTTGAATTTTATTCCGAGTGAGATGGGAAGCCACTGGAAGTTTTGTGCAGGGCAATGCTGCAATCATATTTGCAACCTGAAAAGCATCACTGGTTACCGGTGGAGACTACAGTGTAGGGGCAGGAATGGAAAGGAGACTAGGCTCTTTGTATAGCCACACAGTTGTGAGGTGATAGGCCTGGGCCAGGGTAGAAGTGGTGGTGCAGGGGTAGAAGGTGGCCAGATTCAGGAGACATGGCAGAAGTGGCGTCTCTAGGACTTGTGCGCCAGGTGGGCATTAGATACCTACAATATGCCAAGACCCTGGGACTGGACTGACCCCTAGCCAGTCCCAGCCTAGCCCTAGCTTCCTTCAAAGCTTAGTCTCACTGTGTTCTAGAAATCATTGCCCATAATTGGACACCAGAAACGAGCTGCTTTGGTCCTTTCGGGCAGGAGGCAGAGGCCCTGACCGTCCTTACCTTTGGCTCTGTGATCTTCCTCCTTGGGGCACTTGCCTCCTTCCCACCATTTGCGCTTCAGAATTTCCAGGCGGTTGTTCTCCTGCAGCTGGAGAATGGCCAGATCAAACTCGTCCCGGAAAACCGAGCCTGCAGGGTCACAGGAGAGCCCAGAACACAGGATGTGAGCGCTCTCCTAGGCATCACTCTGCTCCCGTTCCAGTAAACATCCTTGCCACTTTGTCCACTTAACATCAGAAGGGGAATGACCTCCCCTTCTGAGGGAAGGGTCCTGTAGGAGCACTGTTCTCCACTTTGCTCATTCTGAGGACTTCCGTGGAGAGGGGGCAGTTCTGGCTTCATGCAGGACACTCAGGAATTTCTACTTTCCTTCTCTCCGCCCTAACTGTCATGTCCAACCTATGGCTAAGACACCAGTGTGGTCAAGTGACAGCTTTCCAGGCAGCTGTGCCACCTGACCTCTCCACCTAGGCACCACCACCTTCTACCCAGGTTAACCAACCTGCCCACTGATGAGGGCAAGCTGCTTGTACAATTTCCCATCCACCTCCAGGAAGCCAAGGAGGGAAATCTTCTGTGTCAGAAACCTCCCAGTTGGTCAGTTATCTATTTTCTACTTTACCTAAATTAATTTTTCAGGCACTTGTAATTCTCACTACATTACATCTGGCAATTGTTTGCCTATAGCAGCCTCCAGTGAGAGAAGAGCTACCCCAGAGTGTGATGGAAGTGTCCTCTCCTCCATCCGTGTGGAGGATCCTGTCACCAGGCATCCCCAACTGTTAGAGCTGCCTGCTCAGGGCCCCAGAACCCACTGGCGTCCATCACCCCTTTCTGCCACTCCTCCCTGCCTTCTCAGATAGAAGCCTTCTGTTCAGTGCAATTGTTCTTTAATTTTTCTGATGGAATATGGTCAAGGAGCTTTGGTTCTGGAATTTAGGTTTAATCACAAAAACAGGTTTAAATGAAACCATGGAAAGCTCAATGCCCAGCACAGGCTGAGCCCTGAAATCATTAAGAAATAGCTGCCAAGAGGCTGGAAATCAACTAAACTGCCCAGGTTGCTCGCCCAAGCTCTTTGAAGGCCTGATGTGGACAGATGCCTTGGGGAAAAGGCTATTGTGAAGGATTCAGGTGGAAGCTTGGAAAAATTGGCCTGTGCTCTCAACTTTAATGTGCAAGGGAATCACATGGGGATCTCGCAGACCTATAGACTCTCTTTCATTGGGTCTGGGATGGAGCCCGAGATTCTGCATTCTAACAAGCTCCAAAGAGGTGGCCTGCTGCGGGGCCACGGAATGTACTTTGACAGGCAAGGAACTAGATGAGCTCCCAGATCTCTTTGGACTCTGACAGCCCATGACTACACACACAGAACTTTCCCTGCTATAGATGCAACTATGCTTGAGCATGCAAACCCCAAGCCTCCAGAACAAACTGGGTATGTGTAACTGATTTGGGTGAGCATCAACGACATCTCATATATAGTAGGTACTTAATACACATCGACAGTAAATGGCTACTTGAGCTAACAGACGGTGTTAGATGGTGAGACTAATGAACATTCTAAGTTTAGAGACAACGGTCCAGCCCAACAAGGCACTTCAAGCAGTTTTCAAGGCATTTTCATCCCAACCTCAATAGCACACCAGGGGCCCCATGAAAGGATTCTTTTGTTTACTCCACATTTGCCTACTTAGCTCCTAAACCCCCTGACTAGTTTTCCATCTCATTCCTTATTCTGTTTCTCTTAATTTCCCTAGGTCCAACCACATTGCCTATTCTATAAATATGCCCTTACTTCCCACTTAAGGATGATACACATGCTTGTCTTTCCTGGACATAACCTCAGCTGGACCTAAATTCCGTCTCATCAATGGACCGTACAATGCTCTTGCCAGCCTGATCTGAGAACCTGGGCTAGCCCACAGCTCACCTCCCCCACCTATCCTGTCCTGCCGAGCTGGTGGGACCCATTGGCAACACGGTCTGGTAAGTGAAGTACTAGGTTTGGAGACAGGCATCCCAGGCTTAAGCTCAACTTCTCTACTCATTCTGTGACCTTGGACAAGTAACTCATTGGCTCTGAATCTCAGTTCTATCCTCTAGAATGGGAAGGACCACATCTACCTTGTAGGTACGATGATTAAGTGAGTTCACACATGTGAAAGCATCATGTCAGATACAGGACAAAGGCATTTCCCTCCCTTTTTCCTTGGTTGTTGATGAAAATTTCTAGAGTCAGTCTGCTTTATGTCAACTCTCTATAGGTTTTTTCCATGAAAGTTTTTGAAGCATTTGACATTTCAGTTAAACTTGGTAAATTGCTAGAGTGTTATCAAGGTGCACTTTAAGTTCATTTTGTGGTTCACTCCACCACCTAGAAACAAAATGTCAGTCAATGAATTTCTCAAAGGGGCCCTTAATCTGTGGTATTAATGGACATCAATGAAATATGGTGGTAAGTGGAGAGTATGTAGGTTTATGAGTGCCCTGAGTGAGGCCTCTGGGTTACAGAACTGCTAATGTCAGAATGTAGAGAGTTCAAGGATGAACCATGTTATTATCTATGTTCATTGGCTGGGTTTCTGACCAGTCTTTAAGAAGAAATCTGCTTTTATCAAATAACATAGAGAACCATGGAAAAGATGGGGAGGGCACTAATGTTCCTCCAAACAGTCTAGGTGGGAGTCACTGTGGTAAGGCAGGTGCCAGATTACCAGGTTTAACCCTCACAATAACTCTATGAGGTAGGTATTAGAAACCTAATTTTACAAATGAGATAAGTGATACTCAAAGAAGTTAAATAACCTAACCAAGGTCCCAACAACCAGTAACCAGGGTACGTTGCCTGACTCCAAACTCATACTCTTCACACATCACAGATACAAGTGAAACCTATGATTTATAGAGTTCTGACAGCAAAGATGCACATACTACATGTCAGTTTCCCCACATGATCTGATGGCCTCAATTCCCGTTGCTCCTGTGCTGTCTTGTACATCTCGTACGAGGACAGACTTGGACAAGGACAGCCCTATACAGCATGGCTCTCCACGATGTGTCGGGGAAGGGTGCATGTCCAAATCACTTGGGGAACATTTTCAGATCCTCTCCACAATCACAGCAAGCAGGTAAACACGCTCCCCCATCTTCTGATGGAGGTACCGTCAGCAGGGGAAGGCCTGAAGCATGAACATCTTTCAGAAAGCACAGCTGGGACACCTTTCTGGAAGCCAAACATCTCTACCCTCCTACAACAAACTGGATGACACAGTCAGCAGGCTGAATACCAGAGCTTTACCACCCATTCCCGGTTACCTATGCCGACTCGGAGTAGATGGATCGGTGAGAACCAGAAACGATTTGAAAGCCATCTCATCTAATCACGTCAGTTCCCTTTTGCAGTAAACCTTTCACCAGGGACACTAACAGGAGAATTAATTCATTTGAGTTTTACTTTCTCTTTCTTCCCAGTGCTAGTAGAGATGTCAATCAACAGAGAAATGGCCAAAGGGCAGGAAGCAGAAGAGGGGAGAACAAAGGCCTAAAGACTTCATCGAGGGCATCAACATGCCTTTAATAATTAATCAGTTAAGAACTAATCAATTAGCCCTTCAATAATTCAGGATTGAAAACTGATCACTGATTAGTGGAAGTATGTGAGTTTGCTTTTTTTTTGTCCAACCTCGAGAATGCCCACCTAATGTTGCATTCAATGCTGCATTGGGTGGTTCTAGCTACTCTGCCCCTGCCTGGATGAAGCTACCCAAGGAGGCTGTTCCTCTCCTGCATACCGACTGGCATGCCAATCCCATAGCCCTTGGTGTCCAGCAGGCCCCCAATCTGAGTGAGGTTGCAGTTTCGCTGCCGATAGTACTCATTCATGGTGGACTCCAGAAGGAAGGCGTAGTTGGAATTCAACACCCTGGCGATTCCCTCCTCCGTGCTCTTCACAAACACGCTCGGCTGCTTGGAATACATGTAATTCCACATGCGTTGGTAGGTCTGATAGCGGGAATTCTGAGAAAAGAACACAAGGAAGGAGGAACAGGAAAAGAGACAGGAAATGTTGATTTAAAAAGTGAGGGAATCAAAGTGAGCCTTATAATCTTGGCCCTGGGTCAGGCCGGGGGTGCAGCGGTTAAGTTCGCACGTTCCGCCTCTCAGTGGCCTGCGGTTCGCCAGTTCGGATCCCCGGTGTGGACATGGCACTGCTTGGCAAAAGCCATGCTGTGGTAGGCGTCCCACATATAAAGTAGAGGAAGATGAGCATGGATGTTAGCTCGGGCCAGTCTTCCTCAGCAAAAAGAGGAGGATTGGCAGTAGTTAGCTCAGGGCTAATCTTCCACAAAAAAAAAAAAAAAAAAAAAAATCCTGGCCCTTCTGCTACTCAGTCATTCCCTCATTACATTCAATAACCTTTTCCCTTTCTGTCTCCCAAATGCCATTGCGTAATGGCAGGAGGAGGGAGTGCTGCCTTTGATAGCTTTTAAGGAAAGACAAAGAAGGAACAGGGTCCTATGGCACTGTTAACTCTGCCTCGTAGTTTGATAATTGGTTTTGCCTCATCTCCTAGACAGGTCTTCCATCGCCAACCTCCCTGTGCTGACAGAAGTAAGAATGGAAACTCTGGCTGTGTCCTTCACCGTCCTTCAGGTGGGGGCAGTGAACTCAGACTCATTGAGGACTTCTAAAGGGACACGACCTGAAAGAACAGTGCCACCCTCTTCTATCGACCTTAAACCAATTTATCAATCACATATCCAATGCCGGCTTCCATTTTAGAAATAACAAAATGCCAGAGAATTCTGGGGGTCTATGCAAATCCCGTGTTTGCATGATGGCTTCACTGGTCCCTGTGCTGAGAGGCACTGAGTCTTGTATAGAAAACACAAAACTGAAGGCCTTGGCCTTGTTTCATGTGAAAATGATCTTCTTGGGGAGTAGGTTGGTTAGACACCTCTGAACTTAAATCCACGTCCCTAGAGATCCTGAAGCAATGAAAACTACTCCTGTGTCTGGCCCGGCTCTGTCAGCTTTAGTAATCAATGCCTTGGTCTGCCAGCTAACACACCATTGTGGCAAGGCCTTCTCCTGATTCTTGCAAGGGAATTTCAGAGAAGCCAGTAGGGTCCTGATCTGTGACCTATCTGATCTGGGATCAAGGAAACCAGTTCATCTTCATTTAGCGTTCCTTATACCTCAGTCATTGTATACATTCTAATCTTGCTTTGTCTAAGTACCACCTAGAAAATTGAACACACTTAAAAAAAGTGTAAATGCATACATTAGCCTCATCCTATGCAGTAATATAAATAAATAAAAGTACAGGTTAGATTCACTGCATAATTTTTTTCTAATACTCATTAAAATACATATGAAAAGATCGCAGTTAAAAATAGTTCTGCCACATTGTACCTAAAATCATCTCAGTGCCACTGATCACTCATGTATAACACTCCAGGGCAGGCTGATATTAACCCAAAGTGCTTTGAGGACCTCATTCCAGAGGAACTTTGTGGAGCAGGAGAAAAATAGACCCCACGTGAACCTCCAAACTAGATGTTCAAAGGAGATAATGGGATGAAAAGAGATGTTCTTATCTCTAAGAGACAAACACCTCAACTTTATTCTGCCTAATTCCCAGCGCCCCATCCTGACTCCAGCTCAGTGTCGCTGAACAACCAAATGGCTTTACTTGGAAGAAGGTCATGCTGGAGCCTCCGTGGATTGTGCCATACTCAATGGCGGTCTGGTCAGCCAGGTCATCCACCGACTCAATGGGCACTTCCATGCGCTGCACAGTCAGGAAGGCTGCCAGGTTGGCCGTGTAGGATGAGATGATGATCAGCGTGAATGCCCACCTAGGCAGGAGAAGACCAGGAAGTCATCATTGCCTGGGCACTGCCAGGAGTCTTAGCCCCCATCCCAAGTTCTGCTGTGGAGACCAGGTGTCCTTCTTCTGAAGGAGCTCTCTGCTTAGTGTGAGAAGAGGAAGGGGGTAGGGCATACGATGTCAACAGAAATGACTAGTGTTTATGAGAGTTGCCTAGAAGACAGTTGGTTTTTCCCCCTTATTTCCTAAAGGAGGTGATCATTGGGTTGTCACTCAGAAGAGGTGTATCCGTGCATATGAACAGTTTGGGAGACTGTGAGAAACGCACTAGAGCACCAGATAAGGTGCCAGCTCTGGGGGCTCTGTTCAGAGCTACAGCAGGGATGGGCCCCCTGCCTCCTCCTGATGCAGCCAACCCTCAACAAGCATCGCCATGTGCTGAGCACCTGCCACGAGCCCCACACACGCTCATGCACTCCCTCAACTCAGGGAGGTAAAACTCTTATCCCAGTTTTACAGATGCGGAAACTCAGAGAAGCGAAGTAACTCGCCAAGTAACGCACTGATAATTCCATATTTTAAAACCAGTTCTACAAATTGTAACAGCAGAAACTCTTTAAGACTAACTGGTGAAAAACACTTTTGAACTGCTGAGAAGTCGGAATTAGAAAACACTCTCACAACGGTCATGCTCTTCCAAAACAGAAGGTTGTTTTATGGGGTAGAGGGAACTCATTGAAAATTAGAATAGTTTTGTAACTCAGGCGGCACACACCCTAAAGCCATTAAAACCAGTTTGTTCTGTTAAGTGGGTTAAATAAGGCCTCTCCCACCTGGTCAGCAGTGTGGCTCTGCATCCCGATCCGTTTGTTTATAGGGGTTCAGAGATAGAAGGAAGCACAATTTGGGTCGGATAATCACAAATTCTGAATCAGTGGAGTCTGAATTAATGAGGCTTTACTCATCACGAAGACATTGCCAACTAAGGCACAGGGTTCACCACAGGAATCAGCAGGCGGCAGCTTCCAAGTAGATTTTCAAGAACAGGCAGTTCCGTTGTCCCCTGTGTCACTGTGTCCAAAAATTCCTGCAGGCTGCCTCCCAGGAGTGAGGTGACCCAGGCACCCACGGACTCAGTGGGCACATGGATGTGCCAGACCAGAGTAAAGTGATCTGGTTTTAGTTCTGGCTTTGTCCCATTCCACCTGTGAGCCCTTGGGGGAAAGCCACACGCCTCCTCTGGGCTCGTTTGGTTGTCTAATAAACGGGGATAATGTCTGCTCTGCCTGTCTTTGGAGAGTTGTGAGATCAAATGAGATAATAGGTCCTTGGTGACTAATAATCTGTAAAGGACTAGATGAACGCAAGATGTAGAGAAATGTAGAGATAGACCCTCAGCCTGAAGATGGAATGAAAATCATTTGGCCACCTTCCCTATTAGTGACCTGTAAGTGCCAGGTGTCCCTCTATCTTCCAGACCTGCTTTCCTTGCTCCTGCCTGGGATCTTACACTCTGCTGCAAGTTGTTTCTCATGACCATTCCCCAGAGGAGGCCAGGGGGTGAGTGACCCCCAGGCAGAGGCCAGTCTTCTGAAATGCTCAGCTCCACTTGCTAGTGCCCTGGGTAACGAGCCCAGGGTGTGGACATGACCTCTGAGTTGGCTGGGGAGGTTCCCTCAGCCCCCTGCTACACTCTAGCATCTGTTCCACCCTAGGTGGCCATGTGGCTGTTTATGCCACTGGTCACAAGGGGAGTCAGAGAGCACAGGTAGTTCAGTGCAAGCCCATTGCCTCTCCTGAGAAAGCAAATCATGCCCACGCTCTCTCCAGAGGGGTCAGTGGAAGCTTGTTCCTGTGTGAAAGGGGCATTATCAGTTGTAAAGCTGGCATTCTCATTAGTGACATGGCATTCTGTCACTTGCTCTGGGTGATGAAGCCAAAGGAGGCCACAATGGCCATGTTTTCTGACTTCCCACTCCCCCAGGGAGCTAACCAAGCTGAGGCCCTGATTTGAAAACCAAGAACTCTGAGAGGCAGACAGGCACACTAACACCTCAGGGTCGGGGCTGGGGAGGGCTGAGCCCCCTCCCACACACTCCGTGGAGCGGAGCAACCCAGTCGCCTGTGGCCAGCTTGCAGGACAGGTGGTCCTCTGCAGCTCTCAGGCAGGAGGGAATTCCTAGGGGGCGGGGAGCTGACAGGTGGATGAAACAGGCAATGGGCCCTACGTGCAGAGCATGGGAACAAGCACACTCTGGAAGAAACAGCCCCAGATGGAAAGAGATCAAAATCCGCAGCTGACTTCTGCTCATCTCCTGGGTTTCTGCCTAGATTTCCTGGATTTCAGGGGAGCTCTGTAGCCATCCCTGCTGAGATCATCCATTCTTCTGGGGAACATGGGACCTGGTTCCCCATGGAAATCCACTCGTGACTTCTGGGCACTATCCGATAATGGTTGAGCGCCTTGCCCAACTGGTTTAAATCTTACTGTATTTATCATTTATCAGGGAAAATGGACACCCCAGCTGGGAAGGGCTCACTGTCCTAGCTGCGTTTTCACCTCCCCATCAGCCACAGTCCAGTGGATCCTCAGGTAACTGTCCAGACCACCCCCTGCCCCGAGCACTGGTGCCCAAGGGTGAAGACACCACTTTTCCCTTGGCTTACACAGGCTGAGAAGGAGCGGCAGAAGCAAGGTTGTAAGTCCTATAAGCGGTGAGAGCCAAACCCAACAGAGGGCTTTTGAGTGAAGATGGGGAGCTTGTACTCTGCAAACCTGCCTCTAGACTACACATAGATATTTCATTTCCCCCATAATGGTCCAATAGCAATTATTAGTCCATACATTTACGTAGCACTTTCGAGTTTTCAAAGAGCTTTCCTGTACATCGAGTCATTCGACCGTGTTCTTTTTGCCCTGGATGAGCCAAGCGGAGAGGGGAGTTTCAGGCAGAGGCTGGCTGACTACTGTGTGGACCAGAGCTTGAACTACTTGCTGTCAACTCTCTCCCCGAGGTCCTGCCCACTCTGAGTGACTGAGAGTTTCCATTTTCCCACCCCTGCTGAGGTGGACAGGTCTGGCAAGCCCAAAGCCAGTGCAGAGGGACAAAGCTCGAGGAAGCAGGTAGAGGGGTCGTCAAGTGGCAGCCGCTGGGACTCCTCCTGCAGGGACTTCCTGTGCACGCTCATATTTGCAAACATCTGCATGTGTCTTTGCAGGTCATTTCCAGGTCAGGAAGTTATCACTGCTTTGCTGTGGGCCTTCCAGCTGTTTTCTCACTCCATCCCCCTTCCTGCCTTGGCTCCCCTCTGTATCCAGATCTCCGAGGCAGAGCAAGGGAAAGGATGAGATGCCACACAGTTCGTCCACCCACTGCCCCCAAACCTTCTGAGCGGCAGAAGGCAGCTCAGCTCCCCGCTAGCCTATTTGGAAAGACAGAGGCCTCAGGCTCTCCTACAGTGATGCTAAGGTTCCTGCCCACCTGCAGCCTAGCTGGAGCAGGGCTTATCCGAGGACCCCCTTGGGTTCTCCAACCCATTGGACCAGGCCGCTTCTCTGCCCGGGATCTTACCAGACGCCACTGACACAGCGGGTGGACAAGGCGCGAGGGGCGATGGTGGAGCCCTGCTGCATGAAGCCCCCGACCGGAAACCAGAGGCTGTTGCCGAGGGAGTACTGATTGACCAGGAGGTTGCACCGGCCCTGGGCACACGGGTGGGGGCTGTACCACTCGTAGGGGGTCAACCTGCAGGAGAAAAGGAACATAGACCAGTGCCACGGCAGGCGGTGAGAAGGGAAGACAGGGGTGCTGGGGGGTCGGGGAGCTCTCCTTTCCGGCCTCACCTCTGTGCCTCAGTAACTGGCCTTGTGGCCTTGGGCAAGCCACTTCCCGTTGCTGAACTTGGATTTCCCCCAGCGAAAATGAGGAGGTTGGAATACATTGGCAGTTTTCGAATTGTTTTTCTTTTTTTTTCAAAATAAATTCTAATGGAACTCCAATATACAAAACAGATGACAGTGGAGCCCCTTGACTGGAAACTAGGAGTGTCAAGGGGTCAAGGGGTGGGAAGTTGCTTCTTCTGCACCCCCAGTCCCCCAAGGTGATCACAGGGGACCCCAAGGATCCCCAAGAACCACAGTTCGAAAACACTCAGCCTAGAACAGTGGTTCTCAAACTTCAGCCTACATCAAGACCACCAAGAAGGCTTGTTAAAACAAAGATTGCTGGGCTCCACTGCTGAAGCTTCTGACTCAGTAAATCTGGGTGAGGCCTAAGAATCTGCAAGTTCTTAGATGATGCTGATGCCCCTGGCCCAGGGGCCACACTTTGAGAAACACTGGCCTAGATGGTCCCTCAGGCTGTGGTCCTTAACCGTGTGTGAGTTTCAGACTCACTTGGGAGCTTTTAAAAAATGCCAATGACTAGATTTCACTCTCAGAGGTTCTGGTTTAATTTGTCCAGGTAGGGCCTGGGCATCAGTATTTTTTTAAGGCTCCCTGGCTGAGTGTGATGAGCACACAGGGTCGAGAAGGGCTGCTCTAAGCTCTCTGCCTTTGGGTGAGGCAGGTGGCACTCCCTCCCACTGTGCCTCTCAGCCTCACGCCAGCCTCTCTGAGCAGTGCCTCTGATGTCTAGAAGGCCCTTTATTCCTGCCTGCCAGACACACGCTTCCCGTCCTCTGTTCAACGGCCCCAGCCAGTCTCCCCCACAGAGCCTTCCCCCACAGAGAGAGATGAGTAGGGGTGTGAGCCAAGCAGGGCAGGAGCTGCGTGTTCACAGGGTGTATCTGTCATCACTGGCCTTCCTCGTCCCTCCACTCAGCCTGATCTGCACTTGGGACTCTGCAGTGGCCTGCCCACATCTACCTGGCTGCTGCTTGTTTCCGAATACAATGCCGACGTGCCATCAGTGCCCCTGTGTCCTGAGATGCGCTCCTTCCCTCTGTGGCCTGCAGAGCTGGCTTGTACTCGTGGTGTCTGACCTCGATGGATCCCGAGCCTACAGGCCACTGGAACTGAGCTTTGAACATACAGATTCCCAGGCCTCACCCCTGGAGATTCTGAGACTATCAGACATGGAAATTCAAAATTGTAAAAGCTGCCTGTGTGACTTTGATATCAGGTGGCTTGTGAACAGCCTTAGATCAGCGGTTTTCAAACATTTTTTCCCCTCTAAAATCTTACCCAGAAGAACAATATATGAGATAAAAGTGGAGCTGGTCTGGATGAAGACGGGGTGAGGCCCCGGAGCTGACTGCCCAGCCCCTCTCACCACCCCTCCGAAGTCTCTGGTACCTCTCAGGAGCCTTCTTGCTCCATAGAACCCTGCACGAAAACCACTCCCTTAGGTCAGATTATCCCAAGCTCAGATGTTATACATATATATAGGGTATTATATGTACAATGTATATATATGATGTATATCTATATATACACACACATATATATAGGCTGTATGGTCAGACCTTTAGTACATTTTCTTGTTGATCTTTTTGTTAATGCTGAATCCTGGGGAGTGGTGTGTATGTTGGGGGGAGCAGGGAAGAGGATCTGTTTAAACCTCCAGGGCTGCTTGAAAAGCTTCAGACTGCAGTGGGCACGGTGAAGCAGGCTTGTGTGCATATGCCTCTGGTAACCAAGCCCTAAGGCCATTTATAGGGACCTCGAGGTCACCTGAGAGCTGTGGGGTCTACCTATGGGGCTCAGTCAAAGGTGCAAGAGTGAACGACAGAGCAGTGGAACTGGGACTCAGGCGACCATTCCTGAAAGGAGCAGCGGACAGAGTGATGAGGTAGGGAGGGGACGTGTCAGACTGTGTGCCAGCTCCCGCACGGCTCGCCCGTTGTCACTGACAACAGACACTTGACAGTGGCGATGCCTACAGGCCCAAGGGGGGCAGGTGGCACTTGAGTGGCACACAGCAGGCTTTGAAGACGACCAGGTGGTAAGCAACCTTTCTCTGTATGGCTGGTTCTCGCGGGCCCAGGATGGCTTTCCTGGACTTGGCTTTGATCTCCACTGGAAGAGGCACCTGGTGAGTGATGCGATGCCTCCTGGCAGGCTGGGAACTGTCCCAGAGGTTAGGCACCCTGTAGGTCCTTGGGGCTCCGTTTTTTAACTGGAGAGAGCACATGCTCCCTTTGAGTTACTGAACAGGCAGGCTCTTGGGGAAGACCCCACCCCACAGAGGTGGAACATATACTGTAGAATCATCTGTTCCTGCCACTGTGGCCCCGAGGCAAAGGAGATCCCTGAGGAGACACCTGGAACAGAGTCACTGCCAGCTCTCTCGAAGCTCAGCCTGAGCAATTCTCTGCTCCTGCGGAGCAGCCCTTTCTAATCCTCCGTATGGTAAGCTGAGCACTGAGCAGGGAGCAGAGATTCTGAATGAGTGACCCCTGAGCCACTAGGGTTTGTTCTGCTCTGCATAGTAAGTTGGCTCTCCCGAAGCCCAGGCTGGTCCAACAGCCCTTAGCCTCAGAGAGAAACATCCTCTCCGTGCACATTCTTGGGAGACCTCGGCCATGGGATGCTCCTCAGGGTCTTCCGGGGGCTCAGGAACAGTCTCTCGTTTCCAGGGAGAGGGGAGACCTTATTCTCCTCAACCCCTGATCTGGACCATTTGTCTCAACATTAATTGCAAATGCCTCTCTCCATCCTGCCCTCCTGCTATCTGCCACCCTCCATGGTTCCCATTCAATGAGGCAGCTGTGTTTTCACAGGCAGATCTGGGTTGGGGAAGGGCCAGGCCCTCTTCAGAGAAGGCCTTCTCCCTTGCCTTCTCCAAGGCCTCTGGTCGCCCCCCCGCGACCCCAGATTCAAAGGCTCTGTGTCTTGTCATTCAGCACTTTGTGACAGATCTTGGCAAAGAGTGACACCAGGGCAGCCAAAGGCATACTGCTTAATCGGAGTGATCTTCCTGTCACCTCCTCCCCTCCTCTCCTTCCCAAGGCTCATACACAAGCAGGGGGCCTTGGACTGGGGAGCGGGAGGGGGAAGAAGCAGGGGTGCAGAAGCAACTTCGGACAAGCTCACCTATCTGCATTGCGTACGTTAGCGGATGGGCGTGTAGATGGGTGGATGGGTAGTACCAGGTCGACAGCTGGTCAGAGAGCAGTTCAGGTCCTGAGTCCCTCTCCCGTCCCTCTAATTTGGCACCCTCTAATTTGGCACCAAGGTCTTATCAACCCCCTTTCCTGCTCCCCACCCCCTCCCTTGCAGTTCCCAGAGGTGGACACTAGGTGGCGGTGTGAGGACAGGGACGGGGAGAGGAGTGTACCTAGCCACCAGGAAGAGGACGCAGCTGACCGCCAGATAGGCTAGAAGCATGAAGAGCCAGACGCCCGGAGAAAATGGGTCCAGGAAGGAGAAATAGCCGGGTTTGCGCCCCTGGAAAGGGAGATAAAAACAAGATTCACTGTACACATTCAGTCAGAATGGCCCTTGGACAGGGCAGGGCTGGCCAGGGGGTGTCGGGAGCATGGGCCTGCCCCAGATTGCATTGCTTTGGGTTTTGGGTGATTAGTTTAAATGACAGTGGGGCTGAAGATGTAGAGGCGGCTACTCCGAAACCCCTGTCCAGCCCTCATTTCAGCAGATGAACAAAAGAACAGCCCAGGCCACGTCACTTCCTAGGTTGAGGGTGGCTTTGTGCTGGGCAAGTGGGACAGCCCCGAGTGACCCTTGTGGACTGCCCTGTGTCCTCCCGGGGGTGGTGTGGTGGGCTCAGGAGCACCTTTGGGCTGTTGATGTCTATGGGGCTGGAGCACGACAATAGCACCAGCCCTCTTTGCCATGCGTGTCTTTCTCATGAGGATGCTATTGCAATCGCTCAGCTGGGGCTTTTGTTTGCAGAGTGATCCCAGACACAGTAAGACCTTCTCATGTAAACCTCAAAACCGTGCTGTGAGGCACAGATTATTATCTTCATTTAGATACTAAATTTAGAAACTAAACTAGTAAAGAAACCGAAGCCCAGGGCAGTCAAGACATGTGTCCAAGTTTACACAGCGAGAAAGTGGAAGAGCCGGGACTCAAGGGCGCACTTTCTGACACAAAACCCAGGGCTCCTACCACAATGCTGGGGGAAAACATGGTTTGTCCCCAGCCCAGGGGTGTGCTTGGCCAGAGTCATGAGAGCCGAAGGATGGAGCCAGGAACAGAAACCTGGGCACCAAGCTCCCAGTCATTTTCTGCAGGACAGTATGGATGGATGGATGGACAGTAATAAAATGGAATGAGAAGGACAGAGTTCAATAGTCTGCTCTCAGGCTTTAGCTGTGTGATCCTGGGCAAGTGCACACCCCTCTCTTGCCTTGGACGGAGCTAGACTAGATCAAAAGTGACACACTGGTGGCCTGCAGACTACATACAGCCCTCAGACAACTTGTTATTTACCCTGCAAGGTTTACCCTTTTTCTGTTAGTTGCCAACATTAAATGATTGGGAGATTCACATAAAAATTCATATTTCTGGCTTTTTAAAAAAAATGGGGTGATCTGGCAACACTGGGGCTACATTGTCCCCTGGCTGGAGCTGAGAGTGGCTGCCCACTTTAGATGGGGTCTGCCCTCTGCAGCATGCCACGGCTACCTTGGTCTGGCACCAGGCTTGCTTCTTTATTTACTATGAAACCACTGGACTAGAGGCTCCCTCAGGACCATTCAAAATTGAAAATGATACGATTTTATTCTAGAAATCTAGGAAGTCCGTGGATAGAACTGAAAATCAGTATTAAGCTCAGAGGTTCTAGGAACAGGTAAACTGTCATGCTCAAGATCTTATCAGTCATGGCACAACCTCGACATCACGGTAGGTCATTTTTAAGCTGAGGTCCCCAGAAACCCAAAGGGGAACTACCTATACAGCCCAATCATGGGGGACTTTCAACCTCGCTTCCGGTGGGTTTCCGCCCCTTCTCAGCAAGCCTGTAGGCACATTCCAGAAGCACTTGGGGGTACAGTTTTACACTCCCATTTGGGGACACAGCCCAGAGGGTGCAAAGTGAGGAAGTAAATAGCTCCCCTCTGTCAAAGGGGCAGCTGCTCTTGGACCTTGCTGCCCTTCTACAGTGTGACAGTGACCTCTTGGGTGGTCTGTCTGAGACTGGTTTTCTTTCCCAGTATGGCTTAGACTAGGGAACTGCCCTTTGCTACCAACTGCGAGTTCTCTCCTTCTTGTGCATCCATGCTTGATCTGCATAGAACATTCAGGTGATTTATCTGGAAAATGAAACAACTTGAGAGACAAAGCCTAGGAACTAACAGAACAGAAGAGGAATGGGGAGGAGACTATTCGAGCAAGTCTGGACCCATCACTACATAAATTCTCTAATAGAAAGAAGGACTCAAGAGCAGCAGAATTGGAGTCCCCAGTTAGTCATTCCCATGTCCATCATGGCTGAGCGTGTCTTCATCATCATCCTAAGAGCCAGTGGCAGCAACAGGAAGGCACAGAGAGTGCAGAATCCATACACACAGTCCAGAGGGGGATAAAGAAGCTGATCATGCTTACACACTTGCCACAGCAGAAATCACTAGTTTAGTCCATTCCTGGGGTCCTCCTATACCCCAGAGTTTCTCTGACCAAATGTACACGAATTCTACGTGCCCTGTCACTCATGACTATTTCGCTCAGTGTCTCTCAATTGAGAGACATCCAGGAGAAAAAAACCTTTTATTGTTGCTTTCTGAATCTGAAACCCCATTAGATGCTCAATGTCAGAAATCTATACCTGATTATATCACAACGAGTGAAATTGAGAAAAATGACAGCACTATTTAAAGCTGCCATATTTGGTTATTGGTGATAAGGAAGGATGCCCAGCCATGGGAAAAATTCCTGGAGACTCAAGTTATAAAACATAGAACATCACACAAACAAGGATCAAGACATAAACACAGCTCCCCTGGAAACATATCAGTCACGTTGGCAAGGCAACATCTGATTCCACTTGTGATTGACTGACGCCAACTAGAAGAGCAAGGAATGGGCAGTCATTTGAGATTTGGGTCTGGGCGTATACAGGCTTGGCTTGGGTTGAGCCCAAGCTGCTTATAGGATGCCAAAGAGAAGTACATTACTTGCAAAGCTCTGAACGCCTACGATTTTTTTCTGTGCGGATGCTTTAGATTGCTTCCTTCCCAAAAGACATCTGAGTTACTGGTGCTCAGGGCAAATCAGGTGTCATGTGCCACAGGCATTTCTTCCAAATAAGAGATTTTCCTTAACCCAAAGGATCTATGATGGTGACGGTTTTCTTCTGAAGAACCCAAAATGCGTCACTATATTCTCTTGATTTCAACACCCAGTTCTCCATATTGACAGATGGAAGAACTGAGACCCAGGGAGGTTAAGTGCCTCGCTCAAATCATTGGTAATGGCTTCAATTTCTCTGGTGCTCATTCGTCAAGCTGTGCCATAGGGAGGTCGTGCTCTCCTCCATTCAAACGGCAGCTGTACCGCATCTTCCCCTCCTTTTCATCTTTGCAAGTTGCTCCAATAAAATCCCTAATCAATCCTATGCCTTCTCCCCAGTGCCAGCAGAATCCCAACCTACTCTAGCTCACCCCCTTCAAGTACTCTTAAACATTATTTATTTACACTCATCATCATTTATTGTGATTCTGTTGTATTTATAGGCACCTGTATTGATTTATACACATCTCTGTTGACTGCAAGTTGAGTCGGTTCCTTCTGCTGAGTATAAGCACTTTAAAGGTAGATAATTGGTTATATATAGTTTACGCCCTGAAGTCTGGGACAGGTCAAGCCCTGCAGATGGGATTGAAAGTTAGATGGAACCGAAATTAGAACTGGTTCCCTTGACTTTTGTACTGTGCTTCAGACTGACCACACCAGAACCAGCGTCCTTGATGCTGTCTGATGGTGGGAGAGACCAAAGGGCTGGCCACAATCCTGGCATGGTGAGGTCCTCTGAATGTTGGCAGTGGAGCTGCCCATGGAGCTATAAAGCAGCACTAAACTTCTCTTACATGTCGAAAGTTCCTCTTACCCTTAAAAAAGTTTCTGTAAACTCACTGATACCTCATTCTATGTGTATTGGAAGAAATGACATTAGAGTAGGGATGCAATTGCTTTTCCAGAGTGTGAAGCCAAATGCATCAGAATAATAGAGCAAGGTAACGCAAGACAGATAGTGAATTAAAACACAGACTCTGGACCCAGACTGCCCAGGATGGAATCCTGGCTTTACCACTTACAAACTATGTGACCCTGAGCAAGCTACTTAACCTCTCTGGGCCTCCGTTTCCTCTTTTGTGATAGAGGATAATAATGAAACCTACCTCATGGGGTTGATTTGAGAGCTAATGCGTTAACGCATAGGAAGGGCTATGTATGTGTTGGCTCCCCCTGTCTAACAGGAGTCATGAGTGAAGGGGGAGGAGGGAGGTGGTATGTGACAAAGGAGGGAACTTCATTTTATACTGATGCTCCTCAGTGGACAAGAAGTACTATTTTCTGTCCTATAGTGACACATGCTAAAGCTGCTTTGAGGGAAAATGCCATCTGGCTACAATCACTTTCCGTAACTCCCGGAGTTTCTATGGGTTATAATACATGACTCACGAGGGTTCCCCCAGGGATCTCCCAGGAAGCCATTAGGGCAATACCAAGCTCTCTTCTGGGAGGATGGCTCTTAGAAGCCAGTGATTCCATCTTTTGGAACTCAGTTCCCCCTCAGCCTTCCCAGACAGAGTGTGTCAGATGTGTAGTGGGTCCCCTCATGTTTGTGTAAGGGGTGTGTACCCTAGACACCATTTCCCTACATACAAACTAGTGAGACCAACTCTCTGCCGTCCCCACACCCCATTCCCTCCCCAGCAGAGCCAATGACAACGGCTCGTCGTGTCCTCCATATGGTTTTTCCAGTCTTTGGAACTGAATGGCAATTTATAGAGAGGTTTCCTTCAACTCTCAGCAGTGACCAATGGTCAAAACACTCTCTAGGGCTGAAGAGATAAGAGAACACAGTCTCCACGACTCCTTCTGGAAGAGGCAGAAGGAGGTGATTTCTCCTTGTCCCACCCCAGGAATCCATGGACAGCCTCCCTCAGTGTGTCTGCAAAGGATGGTCTTAAAGATATTTTGGTTTAGCATGCACTTTTCACTTCTGACTCTAAGAGGAGAAAAGAAGTAAGCAATTAATTCCTCTTCACAGAAGACACCCAGATGGATTTGTTGCCTATATATAACCTAGATGCTAGCGTGTCTATTCTCACTTTGCTGGTTGGAAATCTGGTATGAGGAGACCTACGTTCTAATCCTGGCACTGACCTTGACTTGCTGAGTAATCCTAGGCAAGCCACTCAACTTCTCTGGGTGCCAATTTCTTCTCCCACAAAATGGAACACCACAATCAACACGAA